ATAGGAGTGTTTGCTCTAACATACAAGCAGAAGTCTGTGCAAGGCCAGAATCCTAGAGGGGGGCATGATTTATTTCATATTTTGGAAAAAATCAGAAAATTAATTTCAAGTAGTCCTAAGCCAGAGATATAAAGTCTGTGCAAAGTAATTTCAAACTAAGGGCAAAATAAAAAGCAAAACAAAGGTTTATGGTGCACTAAGTGAAAAATTTAGACCAGTGGATAAACCAGTGCATGAAGCCTTTATAAAGCCCTATCATCACCCAAGTCCTACTTTAAGGATAAAAGTAGTTTGTTCTCCCATTTTTAGACTTCTGCCTAAGGCATGTTTCACACAAAAACCATATAGTTTCCTTTAAAAGCTGTCTTTGATTACTAAATAGTTTTGCTTAGAAACTGTACCTTTACCCTTTAAGTGTAGAGGCAAAGCTTTTAACACAGTGATAAATGTTCTCTTGTATTTTGTATGGTGCTGCAAATAAGAAGGTAAAGGTTTTGGCTTTTGAAGGAGGGTGTGTAACTAGAACTGTAATTTGCATTTGCACATTATTTTTATTGTGGAATTAAGCCCAACAGCTTGTTTAAGTCGTTGGGAAGGTGGTAGAGCTGAACAGAGGTGTAGCAGGTATTGAAGCTGAATTACAGGAGGTATAAGCCACCCTTATGGAGACACACAGCAGGGAGGACCGCTCACTGCATAAAACTGTCAGCGAAATCTCATAGAAAACAGGTAAGTCTGGAAATACTAGTGCTAGCTGGACAAGAAATAGATGACAAGTTATATGAGTATCTGCAAGAGATGTGTGTAAAAGTTGTCACTACATGTGTGGTATATACAGGTATATTTTGAGTAAGGGGATTGTAATTCCTTAGTTCTCACATAACAAGAACTTTACTCTTGTGGTTATGCCATCTGAAATTCTGAAGTATTATATCCCTTTTATGTACCCTTGCCTCTTAAAGCATATAAACCCTTTTTACAAAGTTCATCTTGCTGTTTTTTATGCATTCTTAGACTTTTCAATTTTGTGTATGAAAAGCCAAAACTTTTGTGTCGTTATCAGTCAATGAAGATTCTGTGTTACGCTGCAAAGTGTAACCTGACCTTTACCACCTTCTAAAAAGCAAATGCTAAGCATCAACCCCACAGACATCCAGGGCAGGGAGGAGAACAGATCCTGATGGGACTATCTGCCAAAGATGTGCACGCAACTCCTTGCCTCAATGCGTCCTCTCCAATGCCATGGGTCAGTCCTCTCTGGGCTGGGCTTTGTAGGTGGGCAGAGGATCAGGAGAAGGCTGCTTGGCCTGCAGCTGGTATAGCAACTGCTCTAGAGTTTTTTGTATGAAAGCCATTGGGAAATACAGGAATAACCCCTCTGATCCCCAAGGGATTTTGCGGACTAGGCCACCTGCTGTGCACTGGAATTAGAATTTATTACGCTTTTTGTAAAAAATAATAGTTTTTAATCATGCATAATCCACTGCAGAAGAGACACATTCTTAAGTACAGAAAGCAATTGAAGGCCTGGAGACAACCTGAAATTAAAAAATGCCTATTTTTTAAAAGTATGTTTTTGAAGGAAACAAACCTTCCCTCAACCCATCATTTAAGTGATTTATTTAGTCTTCATGTAGACTAGAATTTCAGACAGTACCTAATCCATCTGCTTATAGAGAAAGTTGTCATTCATTCACCACCTGACAGAAAAAGCTACCCTGGGGGTTAACTACAGGTTCTGGTACCATCTGGGGGGTGGGGGCAGCAGTTTGTTATTTCAGTTTTTATAGTCCTTGGCTCTGTGTTTGCAAAGCTGTTTTAAGTTCGCTGCTAGGAGTCTGCCCAGCTATGCGAGTGACCATGTTGATGCCTATTGTGGTGCAGGTCTCAGTGATATCTTGTAGCAAGGAGTTCCACAGTTTTTCACCGCTTACTGTTTGGAAAAGTTTTATTATTATTAGGTTTATGACTTTTCCATTTCAGTGGAGGCCTCTTTTCTCCTTAGGTGAGGTAGGGCGAATAGTTCCTGATCTACGTTTTCTCCCTGCCATTTATTATTTTGCATATTTTGATCATGCTCGTTTGTATACACTTTATTTCTGTAAACATTCCCAATCCTTTCCATGTCTTTATCATTCTTACTGCATATCTCTTTCTGATGTATCTTAGATGGGCTAACCACAAATGAACAAAGTACTCTAGATGAGGCCAAATTATTGATGTACGTAACAGGTGAAATCCTGGCCCCGTTGAAGTTGCTGGGAATTCACTGACATCTAAGGGCTGGGGTTTCTCCCAGTGCTGTCACATTTCCTACATTATTCTTCTTCCCATTTTTCATATAATCAACTTAAAATTTTGGCAGCTGAGACTTTAATCTAGAATCCTACTGATTCAGCATCCTCCATTAAATTGCTGTTAGTCCACAGATTAGCAGTGTAGCTCTGTGGACAGGATTAGTTCCCTCCCCAAAATACTTTGATGAAAAGGGTCAAATTTTGTCCTGATTCACATCAGTTACGGAACCACTCTTGATGTTACTTTTGAACAGCTGAAACTGGGGGCAGCAACCCAGACTTTCAAACAACGCTGTTTGTGTTCACAGTGACCTTTAGCTGCAAAATCTGCTAAAATACATTATTTAGTGTATGAAAACTTTTGCCTCAGTAAATGACTGTCCATAATGCAACATGAATATGAGGCAAAACAAGTCAGAGTTGTTTTGGTTTTTTTTTTTACAACATCTGTAGAAGAAATCTGTTTAACTTCTGTTTCTTCCCCAGAAACATCTAAGAAATGTTCAGATTGTTGCTGCCTAATAAATACAGTAAATGAAATGTTAATAAATCACCAGCAATTTAGCCTGACAATAACATGGATTGACCACATTGATTAAATTGATTATGTTTCATATATTTACAATATGTAGACACAAGCCTAATTTATTTTCTGAAGAGTTCAAGGTAGGTATCACTGGTTTAACAAAAAAAAAAAAGGGGGGCAAAATAAAACAATGGAGTAATGTTTGTGGTTGCTATCTGCAATAATCTAATGCTGACAGAAAGCAGTATTTTATTTAGTAATTAACAGTGTAAAGGGGAGAGAAGCTGTCATGTTGGTTCTTAAGCTGGGGAATGTGATGAAAGATGATATCTGCGATCTCATCCTTTCCACTTGTTTAGGATTGTCAGGATGAGAAATGTCAGCATTATGAAAGCTCAGCTCTGCTCTTGATATGATAAAACCCTTCAAAAGCCAGTCTTTCTCTCCCTCTCCCCCCTCCTTTCTCACTCTCGCACTTGCTTTTTTATTTATCCTGTTTTGTTAGATGGCAGAAATATAATTCTTTTCTTTCTTCCTATTATAAGCCACCATTTTTGTTTTATTGTATGTTTCACAACCCCTAATGCCCCACTGAAAATTACCTTGTTAAATGACAGTGTTTCAAAGCCATGAATCCTTTCCACCATTCCCTCAGAGGTTTGAAACAGTCAACAGACTGTAAAGAATAAATAATAAAAAAGTATTGATTATTTTGATGACTGTGAGATTCAATTAAGTATTAATTTTGCCCTCCAGTGGACCTATCAAGGTATTCAAAAGGGAGGATTCGGCTCAGCTAAATGTGTGCTGAGTGCTTCAGCCTTAAATAGGGAGAAAATGTGTTTACCTACAGTATTTGAAGAGGAGTGCATTGATGCACAGAGTCCAATATTTAAGTGCTGTGCAAATTAAGCCCTGGTGACAGTGACATTGTTTTCAGCGATATGAGTATTGACTAAAGAAGTGCATTTGATGACAGCTTAAACTATTTGTATTGATTAACATTTTCATAGATTATCATGTGTCATATCAAATTCACTTTTCAGACATGAATACATTAAAAAACCCATAGGCAAACATCGACCAATGTGAGGATGGGACAGAGGGAACATGCTAACCAACCTACTTGCTCGCTGGTCACCTGTTCTCTGCATAAGAACCATTTAGGCATGAACTTTGCAATAAATAGCTGCCAGAGAGCGCAACGAGGTCACTTGTTCTTTTCCTTTTTATTTTTTTTTTTTTCCTCTGGTTTCTGTGCTGTCATGATATTGTGCCTATTAGTTTGCAAACGGAATAATAGAGTGTGCTTGGAAATAATGCCTGACCCCCAAGTGTCCTCAATGAGCAGAAGATAAAACAGATCCAAATCATCAGGAAAAAATTTATATATATATGTGTGTGTAACGTTTTATGGGGGATATAATGTCGCAAACACAAGAATAATTGCAAACTGTATGTGTAAGTATCTTCCCTAATTTTATCTTTTAAAAAATGGTTTCTGTGTTTTTTTCTTTTCAAAAGAAAAATGTGTGTTTGTCTGTGTTTATGGACTTTTGGAGTATACTATTCCAAAGACAGGAATAGTTAGAAGAAATTTGTATCTCTGTTGAATGTATGTAATGAAATGGCTATTTGCTGCTGTGTATTTTCGTAGAAATGCTGGAATGCTAGAAACTGTGTATTTGATTTTGTTAATGTTGTATAGCTGAGGATGCCTCTTTAAATCACTATGGAGCGTTCACAGGGCGCTCCTCTTCTGTGGCGTTGGAGCATACAGGAATTTCTTTCCTTACTACGTTAAGGACAGGGTGAGGTGTGAAAACATACACACATAAAAAAGCACATCCCACAATTAAAGCTGTGTTGGTTATGTTGCTTTCATAGAAGTTTTTCTCCAAAGCATCCTGAATCTCTCACATGCTAGTTGAGCTTTAATAGGGTGGGGAGTAATGGAAAACTCATTGGATCTGTAATAGCTCTTCACTTGACTGCAGCCAGCAATAACAGCAGGAGCAGCCAGAGATAAGAGAGGGAGAGAGAGTGTGTGTGTATGTGAGTGTGTGAGAGAGGGGGGGAGTGGAAAAGAGAGTAGACGCACACCAAAGCTGCCACTTTTTTTTTCCCCCTCACTCTTATTTTTCCTCCCCCCCCCCGCCCCCCCATCCTAGGATCCAATGATAGCTGGACAAGTCAGTAAGCCCTTGCTGTCACTGCGGAGTGAAATGAATGCAGAGTTGAGAGGTGAGGACAAGGCAGCTACTTCAGACAACGAGCTGAATGAGCCCCTGCTTGTGCCTGTGGAATCAAATGACAGCGAGGACACTCCCAGCAAGCTCTTCGGTAAGTCTGTCTAGGTATTTCATTTCACTGCTACCATGTTGTCCGGAAGAGCAATCTCCCCCCGTTCTTTTTTTTTTTTTTTTTTTTTTTTTTTTTTTTTTTTTGGTTCGCTCAATTTTCTTGTAAGAACGGAGGAGTAGCTTGGAGCATGCAGACATACAGCCCTCTGCTCCCATTGAAACTGGTTACCAGAATGACAGCATCAGTCCTGAAAACTTTTGTCAACAATGAACTTATTTTATGCAAGTTGCAGACATTTTATGTTTTCTTTTGATCCATGGTCTCTAATGTAAAAAATAGAAGGGGGGATCATTTTCTTGGAGTAGTTCGTTAACATTTATTGCATTAGGTGCTGATGTGTCTTCTATGCTACCATCTTTTTCTAAGGCTGGATTAAACTGAAAAGTTGTAATTTTATATGGTAAAGATAAAGCTGGCTGAAGAGACCTGAAACATTCCCATAGAAAACACTCTGTACTGAGTAAACAAAGGCTACCAAGGGTACTGCACATGGAGCTAATATTTTTAGAATTTAAATTAGAAATTAAATATTTCTTCCAAAGCCTGTGCAAAGGGAAATTACCTTTTGGATTTTTATTTATTTTTAAATAGTCTAAATTATTCCAGATAAGCGTAACCTTTCACAATCAAAACAAAAGCAGCAAGAATGGCACTCCAACACAGACATCTGTCATTCAAACGGATGACACCCTGTAAGCCAACTCAAGCAACTCTGATCTCTAATCAGAAAAGGGAGCAGAGTTGTTGAGGCGCGTGCTTGAGTGATAGATGTTGATAGATGTCTGAGCTGGAGCAGCACTGTATGGTACATAGTGACATTTTGGGTTTAGAGGGATTGCTCTCCTGAAGGAGTTCCTTTTAATTATTCCCATTTGTGACTTGACACAAACCTTAATAGAAATGGAACATTTCCTTATTTTACATGATCCTATAGGTGGAAGTTGAAGGGAAGATGATCTTGTTAAAGAAAATGCAGTTTAAGGGAGAGAGGCTGAGAGCCCATTTTCTAAGATTCAAGTTTTGATTTCATAATCTGTAAGGAAATCTGTAGCAGTGTTCAGATTTCAGTATTCCAGCTACAGTAAGAGCTGCAAGATTTTTTTAAACAAAAGAATACATGCAATTTTCTTTTAAAATGTTCTTTACCCCTTACTAAAAGATATAGGACAAAATGTTTTTCTAAATAACTTCACTACAGATATGGGAAAATAATAATAATTTAAAAATCCTAAAATTTAATTTCTAGATTACATTAATGACCAATACTGAATACCACATCCATTTTTAAGCACCCTCTTAGTAATCTTTGTTTCCATGGAAAGCATAATTTCCATTAGCAGTTTGAATGTTCAAAAAGCATATAATAATTGTTTTAGTTCATTTCATCCAGGAAAGAATTGTAATGTCTAAAATTCAGAGGGCTATTAGTTGTCTAGAGTAGTATAAATATCTTCAGCTGTGTTTTCTGTATTTTATTTGCGCAAATATTTAGGGTGCATCTATTAAATAAAGCAAGGCATATACAAAACAAAAAATGGACTTTTCATTTGAGTGTAGTGAAATGTATGTTTGTTTGGTTTTAGATCAGGAAAGTCTTGTAATAAAAGGCAGGATAATTTTTTAGCCATTGTCGTTTGGATGCTCTACAGTGATAGTGAAATATACACAGATACTTTCATTAGAGTTGCCGAGTGGGATATAGAAATGATGTGCAACAGTATCTTGTCTTCTGAACTGCAAATATAATTTATGTCCCTAAGACCACTAATGAAAAAAGTGCAAATTAATATATTGTGCTGTTTATATTGCTGAGTGTAAGATGTTTGCTAGCCTGATTCTTATACTGCTAAAAAGATATGTTCCCAAGTAAAAGTAGGTGAAATAGTTCAACTGCCCCAGTATGAACTTATGTACCATTTATCTATGTTCTGTTACAATTATGACAGATGCTACAGATCTTTTAGCAGCAGCCCTTGTCAGTTAATTTTAGTAACTTTGAGAACATAAAAGAAAGGACAGTGGGGCTATTTTGATACATTTGAGGATCAAACCAAGCAAATTTAAAATAAAGATGATCAGCCTTTATGTCATGGATGCATCCCTTAAGACAGTTTTGCAGTAAACATTTAAAATAATTAACTGTAGTTTTGTTTAAGGCTTTGATACATAAATATGGAGCATTATTTTATAGCTGTTTCTCTTTGTTTAATGTTATGAATAGCGTGTTAGGAATGCATACTTTGGGCCTTTCTTTGCAGTCTCTGAAATCAAATTATTTGTGGACTTATTGACATGTGATGGCATAGAGATTGACAATTTTCTTCTCCAACTTTCTTTCTTCCGATCAGAGATAAGAATTTTCTTTTTACAGTATTAAATTTAATACATGCTGTGTGAAAATTTGCCCCAAATCTGTTAAGCAGGAGAGGGAGAAGTGTTTTAGAAAGTCAAGGGGAGGAGACGGTTCCACAGAGAACAAAGTTTTTCCAACTGCTCCTTTCAAGTTTTTTGGAAAAATTGTGAAAATCACATGCTGATTTAGTTGGAATGAATGACCATCATTTGAGTGTCTTGTTGATGTTAGTAATATTTCACGTGTCTTATTTTCACATAGATGAACAGAGTGGAATGATTAGATGCTAAGAGCTTTCTTCTTTCTCACCAGACACGTTCTGCTTAGCTTCTTTTGATGGATGGGTTTGTTTCTGCAAGGATCTGCATTACTTACCTGTACCTTTTCCTAAAATCCACCTCCTTTTTCTCAAACTTCCTTGTTTTGGTATTTTACTGCATACCATAGAAACAGTGGGTATTTATTTTTTGTTTTGGTAGCAGATAGCACAATTAATCATAAAAATGGCACCTCTTCAACAACAGTCCCTGCTGCAGGTGAGGAAAGGGCAGGAGTACAATTAATTATACTTTTTTTGACTTGGGTAGATACGCAGTAAACTTTTGTTTCTCTTATGGGTGCTTTGCTGTCAGTGACAAAGCGGGTTGAATGCTGCAGCTCCTTGGGTCTCAGACATACCAGCACGAGCTGGGATAAGTTTCTGATCATCTGAAGCAGCTCCCACCTGAAACTGGTGCACAGGTGTCTGGGAAGATGCACTTTGTCACTGTGGTGCAGTTGTTACCTGTGAGTGATGACAGGAGCAGCTGTGATTAGAGGGGTTGTGCTTGCTTGTTGTTTCCCTGCTTGCTTTCTCATGGTGGTGGTGGTTGGGTTTTGGGTGTTGTTTTTTTTGGGGGGGGGTGGCTTGAAAGAGAAGGCTGTCTTGTGGTCTGGGGGTTTGCAGCTGTAATCCTCCGCTTGTGCGTTTATACCAGTGGACTTTTTGGAATCTGCATACCTGCATGCAAAAAGACTTTTGATACTGAAATTATGTGAAACAAGAAGGGAGTAAAAAACATGGTGAAAAATACTTTGAGATGCAAAATGTTGGTAAAGGACTCTATTCTGAAACACATTAGCTCAGAAATACAGTTTTGAAGTGTGGAGTTAGCACAGCTACAGTGTTTCAGTTATAGAAATCCCAGTTTTGTGGAGCAGTATGAGGTGAAGTTGCTTTGCAAGGGATCTTGTGGTGTATTATTTACTCTTTAAAATATTTGTGAAGCAGTATCTCCTATTTTAATCATATGATGTAATAAAGAAACAGAGAAACTGAGTCTGGCTGTTGATGTTCCTGGCAGTGTCATTTTCAGATCAACTTGTCTTATTCTACAATATGCTTCAAAATAGTAACCCAGGCCAAATGCCATGGCTCTTACTAGAGAAAGATTTTGTTAATGCTAAGTAGTAGCTTCACTTGAATAAACACATTGGGATTTGATCCTAAATTAATTAATCCTAGTTGCAATTTTATACAATACCTTTAAACAAGTTTAGAATAAGTTATGAAGTATTGGTCTGAAAAAATCTTTGTAAGAAAAAACCCGCTTCATGTTTAGATGTGTAATACTATAACTGTTGAGATTCAGAAGTTGGTATAGACCCTAGGCATATGTCGTGCATAAAATTCTCTGTACAGTAAAAATCCCAGGAAAGAAGTGGCTAGTCCAAGGACCAAAAGCCCCTGTGAACTGAGGCTGGCTTTCTTGGAGTTAGATCCAGTCCTTAATTTATCCTTAACTGAAGGTAATTTGTGGCATAATTAGATAATGGTAAAAAGAAAGCTGGGAATGCACTTGCATGTTAAGGTGATTTTACTGTATTATAAAAAGTTGCTCTTTGAGATTGAGCCTGTAGTTCTATGTATCAAACTTATTTAAATAAATAAAGCTGTAAGTACACAGTGAGTGCAAGATGAAGCCTATAACTGTGGTTGAAAAGTGTTTCCTATTAATTATTGCTGGACAGCAAAAACCTGATTGCTACCCTTTTTTTTGCTGGCAAGATTTTGTTCCAGTGAAATTAAATCTTAAGTTTCCTGTGCTGGATCTGAAGACTGTGGTTTCATTTGGTTCATTACCAGTTTTTTGCTCTTTTCGTAAAGCTGTGTATGCTTGAAATACGGAGCGGGGATATGGGAGTTAAATGAATCTGCACACATTTCCATAAAGAAGGGTTTATTTTCAGACGCCTGCATTGGCTTTGGGATTTTGTTTTCCTTTCCCATATTGTTACCCATGTTTCAGAACTGCATGCATCTTTCTATATAAGCATACCCTGTAGTGGAACAGGGTAGAAGTTGTTTGTAGCTGATGTGTTTTGCTAGTAGATCTCTTGTATTGCTCTTTAAGGAAACATCATCTGATTTTTTTTTTTTTTTTTAAATAGAAGTTGCCTTGATTAGAATTTATGGCACTGGAGTCATTTCAGTTACAAAGGATAAAGGACTAAATTGTCTTTTACCTCTTGAGACAGTGGTCTCTGCAGGTCAGAGCAGAGGTCATTGTCAGGTTGCTGTGAGGAAGCTCACATTATCGTCATTAACAGCATATCTAGCCTGTGGGGGGAAAAAAGGCCTTCAGAC